CCTCTGGAAGATCAGCCCCTCTTGTTTGATCGGGGTCCTCTGGAGGATCAGACACTACTGCTGTCCACTCAAGGAGCTCTGAAGACCCTGAGGGCTTGGAGAGTAATGGGCCTTTAATTAACAACAAATAATTAACAACAATTTCCTGTGGGATCAATAAAGTTCTATCTTATCTTATCTCTTAACTTTTCATTTACGCTTTATTTATACAGGTAGTCTCATTGAGCCACGAGAACTCATTTTCAAGAGAGACCTGTTTAGGGAGCAGATGGGGGTTAAGGGCCGTGCTCATGGACCCAGAGTGGGGCGAATGAGGGTAGGGTCAAGTGTGGGTGCTTCACCTACCCCACCCACATTTTTTTGATGTTGTCGGTACCGGGGCGTGAACCGGCGATCTTCCAATCACAGGCCATACTATACCGTACCATTTTATTTATAGAGCACTTTAAACAGCAACAAGGCCAACCAAAGTGCTGTACAGACAAAACAACAGGTAACACACAAAGCAATATACAAAATGAAGTAAATCAGAAATATAGACATAAAAACGATGCAGATAATGACGACTAACCAGTGTGAACCAGGCCCACCTCTCTAATCTCTGCGCCACCACTCCCCGTGGTTGAGGAACTTGAGGAACTCTGGAGGTTTGGAGCTCGGATGAGGCTGATCAGACTTACAGACAGGCACTACAGCAAACAAAGTGGATGCTGTAGAACAGGGAGCTAAAAACTCTTGTGTTGCAGAAGACACAAGGGATACTGGAGGTGAACATCTTTTTCATAAGGTGTTTGCTGAGAGAAAGGTTTCCAGAGCATAGAGATGCCCTGAACCCTCAAGAGACTCATAAGAGTGGATGATCTTAATGAGCTCACCTCAAATTTGCTGCACTCCATGAAAGTTCTTCTGCTACTCAGGCAGCCCCAATGCCCACCAGTGGGAGGATAAAAGCTCCAGGACTCATCCAGGACACAAATCTCTGTTGGAGCTTTTGGGCACGCTTTGCTCTGGAAGGTGATAATTATGCTCTGGAGGTCATCATTTATTTTCCTGAGTTTTACTGGTGGAACCCCCTTTTCCAGAAGGAAGTATTGAAACTCAGGATCTGCCACAGAAAGCACCTGAGACACGAAAGGCTTGGAGGTTGCTGTAGAGGGCGCAGGGGGTGGTGGGAACTTGGAAGGTGATGCAGAGGCTGGAGACCAGTGGGACTATGAAGAGCTGTGGGGCACCATAGCAAGACATACTGGAATATGGTGGGACACAGGTTGAGGAAGAAATGTTGGTGTGAGGAGAGGAGCTGGAGACACTAGGGATGAGAGGAGATCTGATGAGGAGTAAAAACTCAGAGTGGACTCCATCCAGCCGATATCCAGCACTCTGGAGGAGGAAGGTCTGAATGCCAGTTGAGTTCCCCAGAATGGCAACCTTCTTTCTTTCTCCTCACTTTCCCTCTGAGCAATTTTAGCTGCTTCTCTCAACAGGAACTTTAGCAATGTTATCTGTCTGCTCGGTTCCTTGTATTCTCTGCATTCTATCATGTTTAGTAAGAGTGGAACCCAAAATGCAGACAAAAACTCAAAGGACTCTGAGATTAAATAAATTAATTAATTTGTTGAGCAATAAAACAAAAGGCTGATGTGGCAGCTAAACCACGGCTTGGGAGTGCAAAGCTGGCTCAAATGAGAAAAATGACAGGCTTTAATGGGAAACTAATGAGGGAGAACAAACGCCTGAGGAGAGACAATGAGAAACAAGCGAAAGTGAGAGGACAGGAGCTCAACTACATGAGGGGATAAAAACTGACAAAGCTGAAATACAAGAACAACTAAATCACAGAAAACTAGATAACAAAAACACAGGTCATGACTTGACTGGATTTCTTTAAGGAAGCAGTTAATGATTTATTTTTTATGTGTTCTAAATGAAAAATTAAGTAGTTTTTCTAAATGCTGAGGCAAATGTTTTCTTGTGTTTTAACGTGCTTTTCACAATGTAAAATTAACTTGTTATACTTTTAGAAACTCATAACAGATTCAAACTCTGAAACACTGATGGCAACAACTAACTGCTAAAATGGGGTCCATGTCAAACATTGAGCAGACGGTTTAATAAGCCTCCTAGATGCACATATTTAATAACAGATTAGGTCAACGCACTTTATCAATCAATTTCTTAACCAGTTGAGTCACGAACCATGTAGAAAAGCAAACCATGGTTTTCTTATGCTGTTTAATTAAAATCGTTGTACACAACTACTATGAGGAACAAAATAATTTATTAAGTAAAGGACAATGGATTGAACTTCAATGGACATTGCCTGACTTGCATTTATGATGACACCTGTCCAAGACTTTTATCCCAAGAAAATCCAAGTTCACGGCCTTTAAAACATCTCCTTGGTGCCGGTAAGACAGCACAAGCTTGTGCTTGTTCCTGAGTGCAGTGTTGGCTTCAAAAGTTTCAACAACCATGGCGACATACAGTACTGTGCAAAAGTCTCATGTCATTCATTGTCTGTAAGCTGTAGCTCAGTCATCTCTAATTCTGATGCTGTGGGTTTAAGCCTAGCTTGTATCAGAAAGGGCATCCATTGTAAAACATTTGCCCAATCTTTGATACCAGTTTTCTTACTGTAGCGATCCCTGCAGAAGGGAGCAGCCAAAGGAAGAAAGAATCATTTATACTTAGATATTTTTTTTTCCCTAAGGAGCCATATTTTGTATTTGTAGCTCCTCGGGCTTCATGACAGTGATAAAGTTTGGCTCCTTGGAATCAAAATACTTTGTATAAGGAAAGTGAAGTTGGTTGAAATCTTTTCCACAGTACTGTAGAAGGTGTGTCTGTAACAGGTTCTCTCCAGGCATCTAACAAACAAAGGCTTTACTGTCTTGCTATGGCATGCGACAAGCAGGCAAAAGGCTTTTTTTTATGTGCAGCAAAACTAATGGAAATCACCATGGCCTTGTCTTTGTCATACAAGTCCACTTGTTCAGCTTTTTCTTAAGTACATAATAGTTGTTGCAATTAGTTACATACAACTCATAAGATTGTTGTTTGACATGCACAACAAGTTAAACTTCTCATGGATAAAAGCATTTAATTTGCTTGTTCCCAATTGTAAAGCACATTGTCCAGCTTTTTATATAACCAACATGAAAAATAATTATCAAAATATACCTCTCCACTATCACAAGAAATGTTCATTGAATATATTCCAATTAGTTACAAAAATATTTGTGATGACGTAATAGTATGTCTGAATAAATGCACTTCCTGTTTTTGCTGCCCTCCACCTTCCACCTGAGCTCATAAATCCTTGTTGGGGACACACCATTACCACTTGGTTGTGTTGATTGTGTGTGTTTTATTTAGTGTAGTTTTGTATTTTTTTTCTCTACGTCTGTTTGTAAAGGAGTTTTAAATGGTGGTTGAGTTTTTGTGCAGTATAGAACTTTTATTATTTTTTATTAACCTTTATTTAACCAGGTAAATCCCACTGAGATAACAGATCTCTTTTGCAAGGGAAGCCTGGTCCAATGCTTATGCTTAAAGAAACAAACATGAAAGATGAAGTTGTGTTTCAATGAAGTACAATTTCCCAACTTTAATTAAAATCACCATCTACTTTATAATAGTATAAACATTTATTCTAATTTGACAATAAATTCTTACCTTCAGTCATATTTATTTGTGCCCTGCCAATCATATGGACAGACATACCATATTCTAATATGTCACATTAATGTTTTACCATTTGCTTTATTTGCTATACTATTTAATAATCATTGCTTTTTAAATTGCATAGTTATTGATTTTTAAACTATATACCATTGATTAAATAAATGTTATTAACATTCAAACAGATGACAAAGTAAAGGTGAAAGTGTGTTGGACTACCCGGAGAGCCTCTTGAGAGCTCTTTAACATTCATTTTTCAGGTCAATACACCAACATAAAAGCATCAGACGCCACTTTTTACTTTGGTATTTTCAGAATTCTGTCAAGTCTCATGGTTTATATGTTGGTGTAAAGCATCACAAATAGATGTTCCACTGAGTGCAAATGTTTCATCTGATATGATTCAGTGCCTCTATCTTTCAGAAATATTTCACTTCCATCAGAACGTAAATCCCAATAAAGGCTAAAAAACATTTTACTATTTACTCTGGAGGTTGTTGCTTGTGAGAAAATTCTATATTTGATTTAGAATATAAATATAGAAATATATATATATATTTCTATATATATTGTTTTGCCATGAGTTGGTTTGGTTTAGTTTAGATTTAGTTGATTTTTTATACTTCATCATAAAACAAAGGACTTGAGATTTTACAGCTAGAGTTTATTTGATAAACATAATTACAGTCTGGATCTCTCTCTTTCAGAGTAGCATCATAATTCTTACACAGTATTTCTCTAGTTACCTCAAGACAAGTACAGGACACAAAGTAATAAGAAACAGGCATTATCTTTATAGAATAACATGTTATAAAAATAATAATTTCATGTTGTTGTAATACACCCATTGAAATGCTGACAAATTAAAGTATTGTCTCCGTCCATCCGTATCTTGTCCCGTCCATAACTTAAGATCCGCCCAAGACAATTTAATTAACTTCATACATACAGTACATGTATCATCACTAGATGGAGTGTTACATACTCTTTTCATACTTTTCATAGGAACTACTTTGTGGGGCAAATTGATTTTTTTAGGTGGAGCGTACCAATGGACCAGCCATGACTGATCCTCTCATAATTGTCATTAGTTTATTACTTTGTCATCTGCCTGGATATGTTAATGTTATCCTACTAGTCTCTAAATGTGTGCATGTGGGCTAAAAATATTTTTGAAACAATGTTTTTGTGTTCAAAACGTTGTCTTGTTTCATGACAAAAGCATGTTTCATTGAAGTGTTCATTTTATCACCAAAGGAACCATGAGTTATATTTATTTATAAATTATTTTCCACTCCATTGTATCATTTTCTTTTCAGATGTCATCTGCATCATCCAAGACAAATTTTTCACAATCATCACAACAGAAAAATGTTTATTTAGGACAAAGCCAGAGCTATCAAAGTGAGACGCCCGTCTTGGCACAAGATTCAGACAAACTTTCCTCTGCAAAACTAGAATTAACTATTCCAGCTACCTTGGATTTAATTAACACACAATATGATTTCTCCTTGCTAAGTCAAAAGACCTCACCACAGGCAATAGATGAAACATTTCCATTACCCGAACAAACTGAGACATCTGGAATGGCTGAATACCAAGCCATGACCCCGGAATTCCAAGAAAGCTCAAATGTGCTCTCCAGAAAATCTTCAAACTCCACTCTAACACCACCGGGGTCTGGCTCTCCTGAGCTTGACCAGCTTTTGACAGATCTGAAGGAGATGAAACTCAAATTTAGACCAGAGACACTTGACTCACCTTTGTCAGAACCCTCCAGTGACAGCCCTGAAGACGAAACAGCTTACATGTATGAAGAACTTTCTCCTGAAGATCAATCCCCAACAGAAAACAGTGAGACTTGGGTCAGCTTGTCATGTGCTGCTAAAATGAACACAAACGATGCAGGCACTCCTGATGTAAGAAGGGCATCAAAGTCAAACCTTGATAGCCATAAAGGTAGTTATGTATGCATCATGAGCCCTACTGAATCTTTTTCTGCTCCTAAACCTTCTCAGAATCTTGATGAAGAAATAGAACCATCACAAAACTCTGGCATGTTCCAGTCATACACAGAGGCTGAGACTGAGGCTGAAACATTTTCTTTAGACTATGACACACCTGAATCAAAGCAGACAGCTCTTTGTGGGGAAGATTTGACAAGCAGCACTCATAAAAACCCAGAGGAACCATGTTTACCCCCACAACCTGATGACTCAATGGATCTGACTGAAGAAACATCTACGGAGAGCAACCAAGATAAGCTTTTATTTGACAAAACCTTTAATGAAACAATTTCCTCTCCATCTGTGTCTATTTTGACTCCTGAGAGAGTTGCATCTGCAAGACATCTCAGCTTTAAAAAGTTGATACCGTACAGCTCCTCTCAAAGCTTTGAGATACCTTCAGACAAAGACAGGTCAGGGATCTGCAAACAGCATTCTGAAGACAATCTGATTCCAGTTGACCACCAGTGTTCTGCCTCTCATTTGCCTTCATTCCAATTGAAAACTGATTTGACGTCATCAACATCTGATGAGGAGTACAATATACCACTTGGACGTGCAGAGACCTCTGATTCAGATGCCCACAAACCTCCAGGGTCCACAAATGCAAGATATAGTGGAGCATACAGTCCAAGTTTTGAATATTCTGACCCAGAGCCTTACTTTGACTGCAAACAAGGCGTGTCCGACTTCTCAGAGCCAGAGCTTAATGGAACTGAGACAACCACTGGTTCAAGTGGAGGTCAGGCCAGGGATCAGCTCAGTCACCTCGGAACAAAGAAAAAGCCTACTCCGAAAGTCCTTTTTTCTTCTGGAAGTGAGGATTACGAAGATGCTCCTTTACTTCTTGACTCTCATTGTCTTGTACGCGAAGACAGTCAAGAATCACAACGTTATTCGGAGACATCAGAAGAAGAATTCACCATGTGTAAAGAGTCACAACTTCCTGGAACATATGATACTGTTAAATCTTTGAGGAGGGTAAGATGAGACTTTGTAAAATCATGCAAGTTGAGCATTAACACTCAATATTTTTGCTTCAAAAAGGAATGATGCTAACCCTAGCCAAATTAATCAGATCCATACCTTGTTATAACCCTTCTTTTTTTACTGCTTGCTTTTATCAGTATCAGTGGGTGATACAGGCTACACACTTTATTTAATTAGCAATAAAATAAATGGATACAAAGCTAAATAAAGCATGATTTTTTTTTCAAATGCTTTTTCAAATCACAGACTCCCATTTTGTACTTTCCATTGTGTATTTGATGCATTGGAAAGTACAGCATCCTCCCCATTCATAGCTTTGCTTTGCTGCAAACACAACATTTATTATTGTAGTGCCATTCACATAAGTCTGAATGAATCTGTGTTGCTTGGTCAGGATGTCGCTGCAGAGCTTGGATCAGTGTCAGAAAGTTCAGATGATGAGTTTTTGACCACCAGAGTAATACGAAGAAGAATTTTTATTAAGGTATTGAACGTAGCATGGCCGATGGTGTTCTGATTTAGTATGAAAACATGGTCTTAAAATGTCCTGATGCATGCTCAATAAACCACGGAGATAAATCTATTAATGTTTACTCAATTTAGAATAAGTGAAATTGTGTTTCAGGCCATAACTGGTCATTTTATATGCAGAGATGGCCAAAGCTCGCGGAAATGTTTTTATGCTGCTGTGAGCACGTCTTTGCTGATTTATTTGACAACATAACCCTTAAAGTTGTTTGGCTGTCTCTCCCCCACCCCCCACTTATTTTTTTCTTGACGAACCCACAGTGCAAGTTTTGTGTGGTATTTCCTTTCTAATGTGTGATGCAGAGAAATTAACACAAGGGCATCATACTGACCCAAAATGTACATTCTCATTATTGTTTGTTCTGTTTGTTTTTTTTAAACAGGCTGATGAAATGTCTGACCTCCCCAATCAGTCAGTGACCGAGGAGAGATACGAGGATGAAAATGGACACATAGTCGTCAAAAAGGTAAAGTTAAACTCTTATATTCTAAATAGGAGACACACCAATTGCTGTTTTCTTGGTCAGTTTTAAATTCCAACTTAAGATAGCCACTTTGTATACCAAACATTTGCACAAACATCTCATGCAATACGTTAGTGCTTGGTGTAGTAGTGGGGATAACTCTCATTTACTACCACATTAGATTTTTGCTTAGTTTCTGTAACATTGACTGAGTTTAAGCCAATGTTGTGTTTGCTAAGGTCAATTAGCTGTGGTGGCCATGCTCTTTGTAGTTGACACCAAATGTTCATCATTGTTCATGTACATCCAATATTAACGTTTTAGGAGTTTTATTAAAATCTGCTAACTGATTCATGAGATATTTTCCTAACAGACAAACACGCAATTCCCTCTAAATTTAGGAAAAAAAGAATTAATTTTTGGTCACTTGCCATTTAACGCTTAAAAATGTGGTAGCATGTATGTGTGTTTACATCATCTGCCATGTTTTTTTTCCACAGGTTACGCGAAAAGTTATTCGCAAGTGTGTTTCAGCGGGTGGTGTGCAGCGTGACGAGATGTTGGCAGAAGGAGGTCCTCAGGAGTCCTTCGGTGCAGCAGACGAAGGCAGTTACTCCAAGGTGTTGAAACGGACCGTAGTAAAGAGTGAGGGAGACCACACAGAGGTGTGTGTGCTGCTTGTAACTCCATCTGTCATCATCTTTAAATTAGTTGTGGCAGAACAAATCAGACATCACGGAGAGCGAAATATATTTAATTAACTCGTCATTTTCTTTCCAGGTAACGTTTGTTAAACTTAAGGGTTTCCCTTCATCAACTCAGCAGGCAGCAGATTCATGTGAGTTCAGTCAGACCAAGAAGACAACGGTGGTGGAGGACGAACGGACGATGTCCTCCCATGGTGATCCATCTTTGGCATCTGACCTCGCATCAAATCAAGATGACTTCAAACAGGTTTGTTATCAGCCTCTTTGTCTTTCTCCTTTAGATGAGATTCAACAGATCACCCAAAGCACCGTGTATGAGACGGCTTCATTTTATAAAAATATCTACGAGATGTACCTAATTATTAGGCAAATAACCCTTTTTCTGCAAACATTAAAATTCTGTGTAAAATGACTACAAAAAAACATTTATTTCAATATTTTAGATTTCAAGAAGTGACTATGGCTGATGAGAGCTTTTAGCTCTGAAAAAACTAAATTGTTTCAATATTAAAGGTTTCATCTGTGAGGCATTTCAAGCAGCTGAAATCCTTTCTGTTTTTTTATTGTCATACCACCTAGACCTGCCAAATGTTAGCTGTTTTTGGTTGACTTCCCTTGCTAGTAGGGAGGTTATAAAGTAGCAGGTCATGTACAGACAGGCAACTTTCATCAACTGGTAACTTCACTAGAAAATAAAACACTCCTTGTATTGTCTTATTAATTTAAATGAACTCCGAACAGTGTCCTGTGGGTCATGTGTCAAACAGAAAATGTTTGATTAACTGTAACTGAAAGATATAACTTTTGTCCTTCAGAAAAAATGGACAAATAACCTAATTCATCTGAAACTTGATGTAAAATGAAAGGCAATCCAGAACAGTATAATATATCACAAAGTGAAAACAAACAAAAAAAGTAAAACACAGTTTCTCACCTAGGTGTAGGCTTGTGCTCTTCATACACAGACATCACTTATTAAACGCCTGATGACTTTATGTTTTTTTGACACCAGAGGGAATCTCAGACTGCACTAATTATGACCCTTTTGGCTTTCCATACAAAGGGTGTTTTAAAGCACTTGAATTATGATGCTTTTTGTTTTCTGCACCTCTTGTGCTCCACTGCTGCCAAACTTTAAAGAGAAACATTTCCATACAGCTGATTTAAAACAGGCATGTCTTTCAGCTCCTGTATGTCATCTAAGTTGAACTTCTTACTTTTTTTCTTTTTCTTCACCTTCTGGCTTTTCCCTCTTTGGGGATTGCCACAGTGAGTCATCCTCCTCCATCTCACTCTGTCCTCTGCATCTCTTAATTTTCTTCCTCTTTTAATCCTTTTTCAAATCCTATTAATTTGTATGCATCCTTTATGATTGTCTATTGTTGTCTTTGTTGTCCACTGTTGTCATCACTCTTTGTTAAAACCAGGTCTCTCTTGTAAATGAGTCCCCAAGGCTCAATGAGATTAACCTGTATAAATAAATGCTGGGAAAAAAAAAAAAAAAACTATGTCCTCACTCCAACAACCTCCATGTCCTCTCTAAATGTATCCATATGTCTCCTCTTTGTATTTTCCTGGTAGCTGCATTTCTAACATCCTTCTACCAATATACCCACTGTCCCTCCTCTGGACATGTCCAAACCATCTGTCTGGCCTCTCTAACTTTATCTCCCAGTTGTTCAACCCGTGCTGTACCTCTGATGATCTCATTCTTAATCTTATCCATTCTTGTCACTCCTAAGGAGAACCTCAACATCTTCATTTCTGTCACTTCCAGTTCTTTCTCCTGTCTTTTTGTCAGCACCACTGTCTCCAGACCATACAACAGAGCTGGTCTCACCACTGTCTTGCAAACTTTTTGCTTTGACCTGTGCTGACACCCTTTTGTCCCAAATGAAACTTGTCTTCATCCACTCCATCCTGCCTGGACTCTCTTTTTCACCTTTTTACCACATTCCCCATTTTCCTGGACAGTTGACCCTAAGCACTTGAAGTCCTGCACCTTTGTGACCTCTGCTCCTTGTAACCTCACTGTTACACCAGCCTCCCTCTCAATCACACACATGTACTCTGTCTTACTACGGCTGATTTTCATTCCTCTTCTTTCAAGTGCATACCTCCACCTCTCCAAGTTCTCTTCCACCTGTTCCCTGCTCTCACTGCAGATCACAATGTCATCTGCAAACATCGTAGTCCATGAGGATTCCTGCCTGACCTCATTTGTTAGTCAGTCCATCACCAGAGCAAACAAGAAGGGGCTTAGAGCCGATCCTTGATGCAATCCTACCTCCACCTTGAAGCTATCTGTCACTCCTACAGCACATCTCACCACTGTCCTGTTGTCCTCATACATGTCTTGTACTAGTCTAACATACTTCTCTGCCACTCCAGATCCATCCATCCATCCATTATCTTTACCCGCTTATTTCATTTTGGGTCACGGGGGTCGCTGGTGCCCATGTCCAGCAATCACTGTGCGAGGGGCGGGGTACACCCTGGACGGGTCACAAGTCCATCACAGGGCCACATAGAGACAAACAACCATTCACTCTCTCATTCCCACCTAGGGACAATTTAGAGTTACCAATCAGCCTAACATGCATGTTTTTGGTCTGTGGGAGGAAACCGGAGTACCCGGAGAAAATCCACGCATGCACGGAGAGAACTTGCAAACTCCACCCAGAAAGGCCCCTGGACCGGGGTTTGAACCAAGGACCTGCTCGCTGAGAGGCAGCATCTCTAGCAGTTGCGCCACCGTGCTGCCCGCCACTCCAGATTTCCTCATGTAAACCACACCTCCTCCCTCAGCACTCATATGCTTTTTCTAAATCCACAAAGACACAATGGAGTTCTTTCTGACCCTCTCTGTACTTCTCCATCAGCACCCTCAAAGCTGTGGTGCCCTTTCTTGACATGAAACCATACTGCTGCTCACAAATAGTCACATCTCGTCTAATGCCCCCAGTATACTCCTGCGTATGTCCATACGCGGAGGTACGCATGTACGTACGCGGAGGTACAAGCGTACCCCCCAGGGCATGTCCGTGCAAAGCTCAATTTTTACGACCGCGTACATGTACGCGGTGTCGCACAATAAATTGCCCGGCGATTAACTGTTTTGTACACGACACTATTGTGTTAAATTTCCCTTCTTCATCCCTGATCTGGCCTTTTCTTTTGATTTTTTTTTTTTTTTGCCAAGAGGCAAGTGATCTCTTCCTCCTCTGTTGATGCCATGACTGAAATGGTGAGAAATGAAGGAATTTGTCACGAGCGAATTAAACTCAGTTCCAGCGGGGCTGCAGGAGTGTCTGGAGATTTCCTGGTGAGCTGGTCTGATGTGTGGGCTGCAGAGCCAGCGCTCCCTGTTTTTTTATTTTGGTTTTTTAGATCTTTTTATTAACAACATATAAACACAGAACACCGCTGCAGCTGAGTCTGCCAGCGCTCGTTTTTTTCTTTCTTCCGACCTGTCAATCAATACAGTAGGCGTGTCAGCAAATGACCAATCGGCAAACTCAATTTGTCCCAAAGGTAAATGCCCCTTGTCTGTGAAGCTGCTCTGCAGCTGCTCAGGGTGTACTTTGTCTCTTGGACACATAAAACATCTACCTTCCTTTTTGCGTCATGTCAGCCAGCTCTCTACCTTTCCCTATTACTGTCTTCACAATTTGAGTTGCCTATCACAGTTCTACATTCTTGACTTTCCTCTTATCCCTCTGTCTCCTGCCATGTTTTCCTCCATGTGGACTTCATCTAAAAATAGCACAATTGCTGTTGGCACCCTATTTGTCAACAGCACTGGTGACAGTCAGTGTTAACCCAGACCTCAACCGATCTGGTATGGTATTGCTTAGATGAACTCGCATATTAGTTTTGGCAAAAGTGTTTTACATTGGATGCCCTCCCTGACACAACCCTCACCATTTACCTGGGCTTGGGACCGGCACAAGAGATACACTGGCTTGTGCTCTCTAGTAGCTGTTTTGTCATCTGAACTAACCATTCTTGCTTTGTTTTTTGGTGAAGAGTGATTTAGTGTAAAGGGAAACAAAGATCTCTACTCCTCTCCCCTGCCCGGATCGTTTGCTCGGAAGGAACACACGTTTATGTCAGAATTAAACAACATCTTTATTCTTACAGACTTCAAAATATGTGAACAAGAGAGAATTGTTTTATATTGCCTGAATTCAGAGGCCTCCTGTACAATTCTGACGTGTCTCAAGGTTCTTCCAACATCTATAGACTGTTTTCTCCACCCACTGACATTTCCTGTTTTCAATTCCTGTCCAATAAACACCTTACAGACTCTCTGAAGTCCCTGTCTAATCTGTCAGACACACACTAGCTGTCCTCTCTTTCCACTGAGTATATGACCCATAATCAGCACCAAGCCACACATAATCTTACAAAGACTGGGAGACTCTGATTATCCCCTCGGCAACCTGTTACATTATCAAGTCTTACAAAAGTCATTCTGACCTATTAAGCTACTCATCATTACTTGTTTTATAATCCCCACACATACTCAAATGATGTGAACTATCATTTAACTACAGTTACCTGAGGAAGAACCTTTTTGATGTTTTGTTTGTCATTAAAGGCCTCATTAGAAATAAATCACTATTTTTCTACTGACAGCAGACATGGTTTTTTTTAAGTTAACAGTCCTTGAAAATATATTATTTATTGGGTTATGGCCACATCTAACAGAAAGTCTACCCATCTTTATATGATCTATTTTCCATAATTCATAATGAAACCTTATATTCACCAGTCCATATTATGTTATTTTCCACCATTTATCATCCAAGGTTATTTTAATACCAACATTAGATATCTAAAAAAGTTAAATCTGGTCATCTGGACATTCAAAAAACAAAACAAAGCAAATCAACAGCAACAAAAAAAATGTAGAAATGTTTCGCCTTTCATCCGAAAGACTTCCTCAGTCTGAGGTGCTGTATTCAGCTCAGTCTCTTAAATAGCACCTTCTCAGAGTGGATCAACCAGTTTGCTGCTGACAACAAAAACCAGCTGCTCACATGATCAAGGAGGACCATCAGCCTAACGAAGAATCATTAACACCCTGATGGCTGTTTACTATTCACAGAGGGCTGAGTGATACTAGCAATCACAGCATTGTAAGAGGGGGACAGTTGAACCCGGAGGCCTCCACCCCTGTTTAATGATGGACGATTTCTTTTCACAAAGATGGCCTCCTTTACTCCTCTCTCAAACCATCGTTCCTCTCTGTCCAGGATGTGAACATCTTCATCCCTGAACGAGTGACCACTGGCCTGGAGATGAGTGTAGATCACAGAGTCCTGGCCTGATGATGATGATCTTCTGTAATGGACCATCCTTTTGGCCAGTGGCTATTTAGTTTCCCCGATGTAAGACTGATCACAGCCCTCCTGACACTGAACAGCATACACAACATTACTCTGTTTGTGCCGGGGGACTGGATCTTTGGAATGAACCAGTCTTTGCCGTAATGTATTTTGGGGTTTAAAAGCCACTGGGACGTTATGTTTAGAAAATAAACGTCTCAGGGTCTCTGATACTCCCCCAACATATGGAATGACCACTGGTCTGGGTCTGGGTTCCTCCTTTTCACCTGATGGCTAACTGGAGTCCTGTTTGGGTTTCTTCTCTGCTTTCAGGAAGGCCCAGTTATGATATCCACATTGCTCTAGAGCCTGTCTTGTGTAGGATTTCTCCTTCTGCCTGGCTCCTGAGTTAGTGGGGACGCTGTCTGCTCTGTGATACAGAGTCCTGATGACTCCTAACTTGTGCTCCAAAGGGTGATGGGAGTCAAACTGCAAATACTGGTCTGTGTGGGTGGGTTTGCGGTACACAGACCAGTGATTTAGATAGTATATTCTTCAATTTTATTCTTGACTAACACATTCTTCTTCTGATTGCATGCACTGTACCCTTATCTCTGTACAATGATGGTTTATATGTGACTTTTTCCTTCAAACTGGACTTTTAGTCTCCAGCATGGGTCCTTTCTAAACAATGGTCTTCTTCTGTCTTCTGTCTTTGACTCTGCTGTTTTTAGGGCCCACACGCATAAAGCTTGTACCCTCAGAGGAACAGCGAAGGGAGACAGGTGACACAAAATGTCCCTTATGAGAAATGGACAACTCCAGGAAAACATCGGCAGCCTGTGAGCTCCAGCAGCAACTCCACTAGCTCTTTCACCGCTGCTTTGAACAAGAGAAGAAAGACCCTGATGTGGACAAAACGTAGATTGAAGAGTAGAAGAAAAAGTACCACTCTGCCCCCCCTACTCCCCAGCTCTGTCCACGCTAAAGTCCCTGCTAATCCTATGCATTCGCCACATGCAATCCCAGTGTGCACCTCGGCACCTCAGAGACACCACAGTCTTCCCATTTTACAACTGGAAGATGGCATTTTTGTTAAATAAGTTTTTTTTTCAGACTGATATGTATCCATTATTTTTTTATGTTTTGATGTTGTTTTGCCTTTTTTATGACCAAAGAAAGTCTTCTGTTGTTTTCCTTAATATTTTTTTATCAAATCTTTTTAGTTTTGGCTTGAACAAGTCACCAAGAAAAAACAATGAACACAAAGAAAACTGGGACAATGGTAACAAAATGTAACTCACAAACCTCCTGAGTGTTAAAAAATCATACAAAGTACTGCTACTGCTGTCCAAGTAGGTGCTCAAAATATAAAGACAGTATTTCACATTGCACTCAAACATGAACTATCTAATTCACTCACTGTTCTTGCCTTTCTGCTGTTTGACTTTTTCTTTGATTCAGGTGGTCAAGATGTCACAAACAGAAAACCAGACAATGTTGACACCAAGTTTAAATGCTGCTGTTGTGTTTTGTGTAGACTGTGTACTCTTGTTCTTGATAATTATATATGATCTATAATCAGAAAAACATGCTGACATTGGTAGCCTATAGGAATAATAATTACTTGTGAAGTAGAAGAGGCATGGCTAATCAACATCTGTCAGATCCCAGCTTTGCTTTGTTGTTTAGTCAGTTAGACTTTGCTTTCCCTCAGCGTGTGTTTTTCTTTATTACATATAACTTCTTTGTTCTTTGGCTTTCTCGTCTCATTGACTCATGTTGGACAGATGCTGAAAATGTGAATGTTACTAACATGACTATCACAGCTGTCACAGCTGGTTTCAGTAGATTATTGTATCTTTAAGGGATTGTACTCTTTGTTTGAAGATGACTTACTTTGGATTTTATTTAAAAGATATTCTAGTGTGCTTTTCCCCACCAGTTCTTTAGAATTTGCCACCAGATACAAATTCATATCATATTCTACAGATATATTTCTTTGTGAGAAAGTGAGACCAGGCAATACCTGTTTATATTTCACGTGAAAGCTTTATTTGTTCACCTTTTCATTTGGAAAGTGTTGAACCAGGTGTGTGGTACGTTTCAGAGTAGATGTGTGTGTATGTGCGTGTGCGTGTGTGTGAGGTAAGGTTAGAGTTGTTTATTTTACACCAATTGATTTTGCACTCCTGAATGTCAGGTGAGATCACCTCCACGCTTCTCTGAGCGCAGGGTATGAGGTGCGTTCGATAGCCACAGCAAGTCTTGTTGTGGAATGAGGCGTTCAAGTTCATAAAAATACAAGACAGGTTAAGAGCTCCAATGTGGTTATTCACATCTCCAAGCGTTGTTACTGTATTTACCTACAATATTTATTTATATCAATTAGCACTGCTTTCTTTGCTATTTAGAAAAATACAAATTAGTGAAAGTTCACTGTGACAGGTATGCTTTTAATTTGAAAGATCAGCATCCCTTTTCTGTGATGACAGTTATATACATTTACAGCTCGTATCTAAATATCTAAAAGGGCATGTATTCCTGTATCAGATTTCAAAAGACTAAAATAAAATGGCTGCAGTGTATCTATGGCTGATAGAAAATAAAAGTCTACTAATGTACAGAGTCTGCTTTGGTTATATATCTTAGATAAATTTCATGTTTTATGCTTTTCTTTTAAAAAAATGTTGCTACACAAATTCATACATCATGTTTTTCCATTTGTTTGTTGCTGCCCCCTCCAGGGAATCTGGCAGATTTCTGTTTGAAGTAGAATTCTATAAACAACATCTTACCTGTTTTAGATAGCTGTTACTGGATTGACAAGCTATCTGCTAGTCAGAGCCAGTTCTGAACCAATATGGATTGTTGCCACCTGAAAGAGCTCTCACTGCAAAATTATCTTATTGGTTCATTCAAATACTTTAATAAACGTTTACATTGTCTGTAATTTGACATCACGTGGTTATAAGCATCAAATGGTATGGTTATTTGCATGTGCACATAGCAGCAGCAACAAGCTGTAGCACTTCTGGTGCAGCCTGGGACACTTGTACCTGAAATATCAGGTGCACCCTAAAATAACCATGTAATGCAAAACTGACTGCAGTGCAAAGTTTAATAAAATATCAAACTTTGAGATGGGAGTTGTTTTAAATTGACATACAGTAGATCTGACCAGCCACGAGCTCGTCAGTTGGCTGTGACTTAAACTCTTACTTCTCCAAACTGAGCTTGATCAGTCAGGTAAGATATTTATTATTCATAAAGGTTTCTTCCACCTGAAAAGGTCTGAACTATCACTTTAAGGGGGCTGAGATGGTGTAGAGGCAGGGCAACCAACTCGGGACCCGAAAGTCCCAGGCTCCATCCCCAGTCATTGCACATCTCGTGGTGTCTCTGAGCAGCACACCCCATCCCCCAATGCTCCCCGGGTGCCCCCAATAGCTGCCCACTGTACCACCTGGTCATGGATGGGTTAAATGAAGAAAGCAAATTTCACCATTATATGGGAACATGCAATGATGACAACACAAAACACATCATTATTATTATTATTTAAGCTACCTATGTTAGTTTGAATTTTTTTTTATCTTAACCTTTAGCCTAATTTTCCTGATTTTGCTTAATAATAAGTTATTAGTAAGCCATCTTAAAATTACAGTCAATCTTTCACCACAGAGAGGCCTACTGGTGGTTTCAGAGTGTAAGAAAGACTTTCTCATGACTTTATTTATATTTATGGTTATTTATTCAAAGAACATATTAGGACAGAGTGTTTCCTGCTTCACTTCTGCTCTCTACAGATGAAGCAAATCAAACAAGCACACAAGCCAAATTCAAACCTATTTTTGTCACACTTTTTAGCTGGTATATTTATTTCTTAACCTTATAAAGCCATCTGTTGCCGTGTTGGCAACGGGTACACACCATATAAGGAGTGTTGCCTTGCAATGACATCATACTTTTGTCAAAATAAACATGTTTTCTCCCCAGAAATGAAGAGACAAACCAACTGGAAACAGCAAACAGTAGGGATGATGCAGACACTGTCCTGCTGGGGTAGGACCACTGGTAGAAGCACTGATCCACAAGGAAGACATCCCAGCTTTCATCATCGTCCAACTTTGATTCTCCTCCAGGCTGAAACGTTTTTATTCCGATGCCATCAGGCGTTCGTAATGACTCCAGAGTTATTTGTCTTTGTTCAACATGCCTTCTCTTCTCGGCTGATAAAACAACTCACTGCTTTGACGAGGATAGAATGACAACAGAAACCCTACACATACAGGCACACAGTACAAATACAAATAGTGGGAGATGGGCGTGTGTTCTTCTCGGTTTTGTTACAAAATGTTAGGGTGCTTCCACGGGTTGATTGTTCCTGCCTGTTTGACACAAGGTTCAGGTATTTGCACCGAACATCAGCCAGAAGAGTGATTTTTAATTTTTTACAACACTTCCGTGATACTGGAGGACATCAGAAACATCTGAGACAGGACGGATGCACAACAACAAACAATGCAAACAAAATGAGTCATTGATTGACAAATCAAACAGCAGATTTTTTTTATAGTTTCATATGATCTTACTCGTGGTATCCCCCCCCCCACCCTCCCTCCATGCAATAGTCTTGAGTTTCCATATGTTACATATATGCTACATTCTCTTATTTCCTATTTCACTGATATAAAGGCAAACATATCTCAATGCAAAGTGTAAGCTGCTTTGCTTTTCCTTACATTTAAATTAGTACAATAGGTTAAAATCGGACCATTTAAACAGTATGACTTAGCTCATAGCAAGCAGAAATTTAGCTCGTAAATTGGATTTTACATAAACTCCTCAATTAAGAAAAAATAGCGGTTTCAGTGTTTGTTTAATTGTTATCAACAATCACAATGTACATGTATATGCATCACCAGAACTAAAGCAAGCTCCATTATTGATAATCTGATCTTCCGTATGTTTTCAAGTTGCACGCACAAAAATACACATTAAAAATACAGAACTTTTTTTAAAGGGGGGAGGAAGAGATTACAGTAGTAGATTTTTAAACATATCTGTTTTATATTTAAAATGCATACCAAAACATTTTAAAAAACAAACAAACCAACACAAAAAAGTTCTTAATATGCTTGTTTCATAGAGTCCAAATACGGTGTGCTTCCACTCGGTGGTGGTTTCGAGCATTGTTCGTTTGTAAAATGCCATAACAATAAAATGTAATAATGCTTGTGTCCTGTGCAACATCATGTCCTTTTACAGAAGGGTCAAAGGTCGAAGGAGCAGTCAGAGAGTTGGCTAGTTGACTGCTCCACTAGATCTGCTGATAGGATTCATTATTTCCCACACAATAATCCATCAACTGTAGGAAGAGACAAAAAAAGAGCACCAACATGAGAATAAACACTACAGCACAACATTCTTGTTAAACCTGACTTGTAAGTTTGTTCATACGGTGCATTAATGAAACTCTAAAACTGTTGTCTTGGTGTGTTTATGGAGCCTCTTACTGGGAGGGGATGGTGGGTGCGCCTGAGCGATGGAAGTGGATGTTCTGCCATTTCCCATCCCGGCGGTGCCACACACGGGTCTCCTCAGACTGCATGGTGCGTGGCATACCACTGCTATCCATGTACTGGGTCAGCCGGATGTAGGCGATGCATGCTGCGTTTTCACCAATAAGATGCACATGTGGGTTCAAGAGGATGGTGTGCACCGGCTTATTCCCTTTAGACAGAGCTGCAAAAGAGAGATTACAAAGACAACACAGTGAGACACTGTCAGTTGTTTTTAATCAACTTAAGAGGTTTTAACTACACACAGCATTGGTGAAAAATTCCAGTCAGGTTTTAAATCAGGCCACAGCACAGAGACAGCCCTTTTAAGAGTTTTTAATGACCTTCTTTTAACCATTGATGCAGGAAGCTCTGCTGTTTTAGTGCTTTTAGACCTTTCTGCTGCCTTTGTTACTGTGGACCACAACATCTTGTTGTCACGACTTGAGCAGGTAGTCAGTATCAACGGCACAGTTTTATCCTGGTTTAGATCCTACCTGACTGACAGGAGTTTTTCTGTTCATTTAGGGGAATGTTCTTGATCTCCAGCTCTTCTGATCTGTGGGGTCCCTCAAGGGTCTATTTTAGGTCCACTGCTTTTTAATCTCTACATGTTGCGTTTGGTGGCCATTTTTAGAAAACACAACATCCCATTTCACTGCTTTGCTGATGATACTCAGTTATATCTTCCAATTGTGTCAGACAGGGTCACTCCACTGGATCCACTCTTGAACTGTCTAACTGACATTAGTGTCTGGTTAAAACTAAATATTCTGAATGTAAATGAAAATAAAACAAAAGTCATCAGCTTTGGTAAATGTAACACCCTTGACACTCTTGGCCCCTTGGCTTCATACAGCCACTCCAATGTCAGGAATCTGGGAGTTATTTTTGATAGTGCTTTTAAATTAAACAAACAGATAGGTGCAGCGTCTGCAGTGAAGCGGGCGCTGTACAGGTCTGTCGTGGTGAAGAGAGAGCTGAGTCAAAAGGCGAAGCTCTCAATTTACCGATCGATCTACGTTCCCACCCTCATCTATGGTCACGAGCTTTGGGTTGTGACCGAAAGAACGAGATCTCGGATACAAGCGGCCGAAATTAGTTTTCTCCGCAGGGTGTCTGGGCTCTCCCTTAGAGACAGGGTGAGAAGCTCGATCATCCGGGAGGGACTCGGAGTAGAGCCGCTGCTTCTCCACATCGAGAGGAGCCAGTTGAGGTGGCTTGGGCATCTGTTTAGGATGCCTTCTGGACGCCTCCCTGGTGAGGTGTTCCGGACACGTCCCACCGGAAGGAGGCCCAGGGGAAGACCCAGGACACGCTGGAGGGACTACGTTTCTCGGCTGGCCTGGGAACGCCTCGGGATTCCCCCGGAAGAGCTGGCCCAAGTGGCTGGGGAGAGGGAAGTCTGGGCCTCCCTACTTAGGCTGCTACCCCCGCGACCCGACCCCGGATAAGCGGAAGAAAATGGATGGATGGATGGACAAACAGATAAATGCAGTTGTGAAATACAGTTTCTTCCAGCTAAGACTTATTGCCAAGGTGAAGTCTTGTCTCCCTTTCAGAGACCTTGAAAAGGTGATTCACGCTTTTATTACCTCTCGTTTGGACTACTGTATTTCATTGTATGTTGGTTTAGACAAATCATCTTTGCATCGTTTACAATCTGTCCAGAATGCAGCAGCTCATCTATTAACAGCAATTTAAAAATATGAACACATAACCCCTGTCCTGGCTTCTCTCCACTGGCTTCCTGTCCACTTCCGGATTGATTTTAAGATTTTATTGCTTGTTTTTAAAGTCTTTAAAAGTCTGGCCCTGTCTTATTTATGTGATCTTATAAACATCTACACCTCAGTAAGAACACTCCGGTCTACCAACCAGTTCCTCTTAGATGTTCCCAGATCCAAACTGAAATCCAGAGGTGATCGGGCTTTTGCGGTTGCTGCTCCAAATATGTGGAACAGTTTATCTGAGTATTTAAAGGCCGCTCAGACTGTTGAGACTTTTAAATCTTTGCTGAAGACTCATTTGTATTCCTTGGCATTTGATCCACGCAGAGTCTGAGAACAAATTTTGAGCTGATTTTATTGTTGTTGTGTATTTACTTTCTTATGTTTTTGAGTGGCACTAGATTTTTACTCTTTTTATCTGTCTTAATTGTAAAGCACTTTGGTCAGCTGTCGTTGTTTTAATGTGCTATATAAATAAATTGACATTGACATTGTCAGTATCATTTATTATGTTTTCTATTGATTATCTACTGATTATCTTATATGATAATGTAGAACAGCATCATAGCTGTTCTAAAGAAAAGCACTGATTTTATTTTGTAAAACAGATACTGTATGAAGAGCTGCCCACTCCATATGCTGATGTTGGACTGTGGACAAGCTCTGGCCTGCCAAGTGATTGAGGTTTCTGGGACATATCTGGTTTATTTGAACTATTTTTACCCAGACTGAGAACACTCTGCCATTTATGGCAGTCATTATTCATTGGTGGATATTCTGCTCCAAGGTAAGCCCATGCCCTTGAAGTGCAGCAAACACAAACAGTAACCTGATAGGGCTAAATGTTCATATTGTGTACTCAATTCAAGACACACATAGAAATGCCATATTTATACTCTTTCAGTAACCTCCTGAGTACAGTACTCGATTCTGTTGTGAAGGAGAATTTAATCGATATTCCTGAAACAGCAAGTTGACTTAAAGGAATTAGATCATTATCTGTTTTTTAAGTGTCTGATACAGAATGCAAAAACTACCAATTTTTTTTGGGGGGGTCATAAATTATGTTAATATAATTGGGGGGGGGGGGGGGGGGACTGGACGGTTTTTAAATAAAAAGCAACCTTCCTCCTTTTTTCTTCCTAATTTGCACGAATTAAGGTAAGTACAGAAAGA